ACCTCTCGAATTGGCATAATTAAAATGTGCGTAATTACATAAATTAACATATTTCCGGATAATTACACATTTGGCCAGATTTCATTTAATAATTATTATTTTCACTGAATATTCATAACACACAGGTACAACATAATAATTTCACCCACGCACGCATACAACATAACAAATTTTCTTAACCCAACATATACAACAACAGGCAAGGAACCTCGAAATTAACACAATTCCCGAGGCCGAGACTCCCCCGATAGAAATGTTAGCGTCCACCTGGCCCACGATGCCCATACTACCCCCGTTTGCAGCGATGCAGGAAGCGTAAGCCGGCCTCACGGCCCCCGGTGGGATGTTCAAAAGGTGGAATATCACATCCGAAATAATGGTCGCGGACGCACCGGAATCCACCAAAATGCGTACGTCCACCCCTTGGATCGACCCGGGTACAGTGGACGAACCGGTAGCGGCCGCGACAACCCGCCGAGCCAGCTTACGCCACTGCGTTATCGAGCGACAAGGCGCAGATACTGGCCTCCCGTAATTAACAACATCCGCGTCGCACAACAACGGCGATGAATGAGGTGTCGGGCCTTGCCGGGTGTCTGGTGCGCACCGACTTGCCTGTGCTGGAGGATCTTTCTTTGGAGCGTCCGCAGTCGAGGCCTCCTGCTGGGGCGGACCCGGAACGCGGGCCCAGCAGTCCCTGGCATAATGGCCCCGACGCCCGCAGCGGAAGCACTCGACCTCGGTGCGGCGCGCAGCGGGCACCCCGTCCCGACGCGGCCGTACCGGCGGCGCAGCCCGCGGCCCCGGCCCGCTTCGGGCCGGCCACGGAGCAGAGGCAGCCGACAGCTCCTTCTGGCTGCTCCAATCCGGCACGTACACAGCCTTTGTAGGGTCCCACCCTACGGCACCTCCTTCGACGACAGGACCGCCCGTCCACGCCGTGACCTGTTTCCAGCGGCGAAGGTTAAACTGGGCGTCCAGACATTTGGCCGCGGCCCGGGACGTGAGCTTTTCGTGACCGCACGCCGGCATAGGAATGCCAAGATCTCGGGACAACTCCAACATCTTCCCCAGGATGAGAGGTTCCAGCAGGTCAGGCTCCGTCTCCGGGTAAGCGGCCATAGCAAGTTCCAACACGGCGACCCTATACGCCACCGGTGACTCCTCGGGTGCGCGTTGCCGTTGCACGAATCGGCGATGGGTGTCACCCGGTGGCTCGTACGTGTCCGCCATTTCATCGAACACCCCTCGCAGAGTCTTCTTCTTCGCAGCTTTTATGGAGCGAAAAAAACGAACGGACTCATCATCAAGAAGAGTCGGAAGCACCTCCAGTGCCTCAGCGTCCGTCCACCTCGCTGTACGTACCGCCGCCAAAAATCTACAGGCGAACGCACTCCAATCGCCACCGATGGAGAATTCTTTGACAGTTGTTAGGTGACGACTGCGACTTCTTGGCTTGCTTCCTTCAGCCGCTGACTCCTCCGGTGGTAAATTCAACAAGGCGTCGCAACGCGGTGTCGACAAGATGGCGGCCGACCGTCGCAGCGGTCCCAAAATGGCGGCTTCCCGCTTTCCGTGGTGCGCCACGCCCAAGATGGCGTCTTCGCGCCGCGTGGCCGATGGCGGCGCCATCGAAGACGACCCGGGCTCCTGCCGATCACCAACATCACCTTCCAACGCCGCCCTTGGCGTGACAAGGTCACACAACTGTGTAATAACGTTTTTGAGAGTTACCAGTTG